ATTTATTTTATCGATCTTTACAAAATAGATTTGTTTTTATGTTATATAAATAACTTCGATCAGTTTTTGGCTGAATGTTACTACACCCATAGCCATTAAAAATGATTCGTATGTTTTCCAAACCGGTAAAATTAAAAATACTTTTTAAAGTAAATATATTATACAAAGGTGTCCGTTGAAATCTAATGACTGTTAATTAAATTATAAATTACGCCAAGAATTACCGTGTATGTCAATATTTTTTGTACATTTAGGCCAATTTGAGCAATCTCCTTTGGTTTAAGCGTTTTCAATCCGGATGATGTCAAAAATGCACGTCTCTCTGGTCGCCCTGTTAAATTCTAACCTTATGACCCACAAAATAAAATATTTTTACCAGTCATTGGCCAGCGAGTTACTTTGTTTTGTGTTAACTGAACCTATTTAAAATATGATCTCACGCCACAAGTGAGGCTATATTTACCGATACGGATTTTACACGCTGACCCGTTATTTAAAGCATTGTTGATCAAAGTATTTTTGGCACGCGAACGGCGTATCACAAACACTTGCGTTATCTAGTGATGCGGGCAATATCTTAGGCCCTTTCAAAGTCGAGTTTAGTGTCGTTTATAAGCATTTATGGAAAATGAGTTTATTGGAAGTAATTATAAAACCAGCAGCTAAGTCAATGCTCTACGGACCCGCAGGTAATATATGTATTTCATGCAAAAAAAGTGCAGGCCGCTTCTCGAGACATGCCGCACTTAACGATATCATACGCCGGTCCCTTGTCACCATCAACGTGCCAAGTTTACTTGAGCCGACTGGTATTGCAAGAGGCGATCGCAAGAGACCGGACGGTATGAGTTTGATTCCATGGAAGATAGGCCGGGTGCTGGTATGGGATGCAACCTGTTCAGACACGCTGGCCCATTCCCATCTACATGGAACCAACAATAGAGCTGGTGCGGCTTGTGAAGCGGCTGAAAAAGCTAAAGCATGCAAATACAGGGGTCTAGGCTCCGAATATAATTTTGTCCCATTCGGTGTCGAGACCCTTGGTCCGTGTGGTCCTAGCGCTATAAGGCTTTTTAAGGTAATAGCAAAAAGGTTATTCGACACCACAGGAGACCGAAGAGATGGCAGCTACTTCGGACAAAGAATTAGTCTAGCGGTTCAAAAGGGAAACGCTGCCAGTATTTTCGGAACCTTGCCTAAAGGGACTCCTTTTAATAATATATTTTAGCTACTATATTTTTTTTAATGTTTTTAGTTTTAGGTTCATTATTCTAGTATATTTTTTTGTGTGTAATTACGTTTACGTGACAATATATGTTTATATATGAGTGACCTGAATATAAATAATAATAATAAAAACATAACCATCACAGGGACTGAATATGTGCCGCCTTCCTATTAAGCAAATATATATATATGAATTATTGCATAATATATCATAACAATAACCAACATTTAATTGATATGTAGTAAGAAATATGTATGCTACCAGCACACATTAATTAGGCATAAAAAATCTATTGACCTAATTTGGCATCAAAACGATAATTAATTAATAATACCTACGTAAATACAATAATGACATAGCATGTTTTTTATAACATAAAAAATGTTTTTTTTTGTCAAGAAAAGTCATAATAAGGGTTCAGGTATTATTACCTATTCCGATTGAAAATTTTAATCTGTAGAAAATTATCACACTAAGCGTACCTCCTACGTAATGTTTTCTTTCACGTACCTATGTTATATATTTAATAATAATAATTTTCTTTATTGCACACAACAAAGGACACAATACATAAATATATTGTTTTAAATTTTCATGGTCACTAACATTATAGTAATATAAGTTATTTACGGGATTGTTACCATGTACCTTGTTTTTAGTGAGTTTCCGATATTTCGGCACTGTTGCAAGCGCCATGATCACGGAGTAACTGAAGTTTCCGGTATATTATACTACTCTTTGAACTGAAGTAATTGCGGGTAGGCTGTTATTGGCAGACATATCGGTCTACCCTCCGACGAAGTCTTTTATTGCGTTCGATACCCGTACCACTATTCACAAACTCGCTAAAAACAAGGTACATGGTAACAATCCCGTGAATAACTTATATTACTATAACAATACATAAACTTATAAAATGAAGAGTATACAATAGGCGACTCAATCAGAATTTTTGGCGAAATTGCTAAACAGCAATCTCTTCCAGGCAACCTATGGTTGAAAAGGAATAATAATAGAGAAATATACAAGGGTGCAAAAGAAGATACAGGAACTATACTTACATAAATATAAGAGAAGCAAAGAGGATGTAAAGTGAATTTAGGATAAAGAAAGGAAATAGCTTTAAACTTGATCGCTAAAGGAATTAAGTGTATGAGCCTTTCTGATACATGCAGGGAGTGAATTTTTCAGTCGAGCAGCGTGCACAGAAAAGGAATAAGAAAAGAAGTCTGAAGAATGACAGGGAATCTCAAAAAGTAGGTTAGAAGAGGATCTCAGCGAGAGCTGTGAAAAAGAGGATAGAAATGAGAAACACTGCTTAAGATAAGGTGGAGACGATGGCAGGAAAAGTATAGAATAGGGAACGGAAAGATATATTTGTGCGTGTTAAACGGTGTTTGATGTATTGGAGTTCACTTTTTGAAATAACTTACCTCTGCATACAACCATTTCTGGTTTTGACCACTTCTTCTATAGACTACCTCGTAATATGACTGTTTCTGGATTCAACTATTTTGTCTTTCGTCTACTATCAGGTACAGTGTGCAAAAAGATAGATAAAAATTATCTTAATAACAAATAATTTTTATGCCAATCTCTGAGGTTTATGTTACTGATGTGATGATAATTATACACGGAGACATTAAAAAAGCTGCATATATTTGCACAGCGTTATAAAGTTAGATAAATAAGGAAGTGCTCAAAAGCAGAAATGGCCCTCACAAGAACTAGGCTTTACAAGAAGAGGTCATAATTAGAAAAAGATAGATGAAAAGCTGGTCGTTAAACGTCGAATCGGTTAAACGCACGCCAGTAAGTATGAGTAATGTTTGTTTTATTTAAACGATGTATTTAATACTACATAATAAACATGAGCTTTTTGCACTACTTCTCCATAGAAAATTTATGTTATAAACTTCTATTAAGTAAATCTCACCCTCATCAAAATGTGCTTAAATGTTTTTTTTAAGAATTCAAGTATTTTCAAGTTCAGTAAAACGGACAGAAAAAAAAGAATGAGAAGATAAACTCTGAAAATATTAATTTTTATTACTTTTTTTCATGCATTGAATCCTATTGAATTTCGACTTAACAAATCTACTATATAAAAATAAGTTGGGTTTTCCTTCCTGACGCTATAACTCCAGAACGCACGAACCGATTTCCACGGTTTTGCATTCGTTGGAAAGGTCTCGGGCTCCGTGAGGTTTATAGCAAAGAAAATTTAGGAGAAATAAAAAAAAAAATCTTCTTTTAATCACCAAACGAAATGTTACATAAAACGAAGCCATCTGGTGGCGAAACGGAGTTCGCCTGGTTTGCTAGTGAGCTATAAACTTTAATAATATGATCAACATAACAAAGCGATACAAACAAAAAAAAATGAAAAAAATACCGTGTCGCGGTACCACGGTAAACTAGAAACACAATAATTTACTCAAATTCCGGAAAAATATTAGGTTCCTGAGTGACTCTCCAAAAACTAAGTTAACGCGGACGAAGTAGCGGACGGCCGAAAGTATCAGCTCATGAATAAAATCGTTAGAGCAGTTACTAAACAATAGTAATATATAGATTAACTAGCTGAGCCAGCCAATTTCGTATCGCCATAAAAATATGTGTGGTAGAAGGGTAAAAATTTAGGGTTATATGTCTTTTTGTATGATGTAGCATAAAATAAAAACAAAAACTTCTGTCCAAACAAAATTAAGTGTGGACCACCCTTAACATTTAGGGGGATGAAAAATAGATGTTTTACGATTCTCAGAGCTACTGAATATGCATACAAAATTTCACGAAAATCGATCGAGCCGTTTCGGAGGTAGTTCAATTACGCACACCGTGATACGAGAATTTTATATATTAGAAGATTAATTTGCTGATTTTGTTATTAAAAGAGAGGAAACATGGCACGCCTCATGATAGTGACGACCTCCACTCTCCCCGGTATGTACGCCGGTTTTAAAAGTCTCGCCTACTCAGAGGAGTGCGCTTGAATCCCGGTGGGGCAAATGTTTGTATGATGAATACGAGCATTTATACCGATTTCATGGCTGTTTATGTATATTTCTAGAAATTGTATACTTATGTATCTTACAATAGGTTTGTGTGCCTGTTACCCTATGTCCCGTATCACAAGCCTTACTGTGCTTACTTTTGCGCTAGGTTAATTGGTGAGTGTTAGAAATATTTATTTATTTATGATAATCGAAGACCATCCTATATTTCCAACCTAAGCTTTGATACCAAAGTATCGCTGACACGTTGCCTACCTATCCTTAATTTCATCTCATAAACCCGTGAAGCTATGGAAGTCAAGTGTATACCTAGGGAAACCAGGGTAGAGTATTTCATTGATTCCAGGAAATTATGCTTTTATTTTATCATATTTGTTGTAATTTAATTTGAAGATAACACAAGAAATCAAAGAAGACGTTTCTTTTACTTTGCTATGAGAAGAAAACCAACGTGTAAATCTTTTTCATTATGCTTGTTTGGCCTACTTCCTCCGCCAGACACTTTGATGGTTCATTTTTAATTTGTCTTTTAACGTAAATAATGGATGCATAGAAATTCGAGCATAACAAATAAAAAATAAACTCGTCATTTTCAATTTTAGCAGCAAAACGTATAATATTGTAATCAAGTATGCAAGCTTGAATATTAAAAAGAAACACTATGTTTACATACTAGTAAGAATCCAGTTTATGTGTTTATGTTCGTGACATCATCATGTTAGGTGAAACTTTGAGAAATATAAATGTGACCTTACCATTTGAAGAATCCAACTGCGGAGGTCGCGGTAAGTCCTTGAGGTCGTAGGAGGCTGACCTGGTGCATCCCTTGCAACAAAGAGGTCTCACGCAGCTTCCCAACTTGCTACTCACAGCGCCCATACTTTACACTTGACTGTCCCAGCGCACTATTCTTAGATCCAATGATAAACCGTAAAGCCGTGAACGTCCTCAAAATTTTAGCACCAATTAACACACTCGGTCCCGAAAATTAAACACGATTAGGTCATAGCCGATTCTAAACCATAAAATAACACATACAAAGTTTAAACAGTTTGCCACAAAGTAAACAGTGCGATCAGCTGTTTCGAATGCCGATGAACTAATTCACGACTATCTGTTTGTCTAATTCAGAATGTAGAGCACACGTAACGCTAGTAACGCTGTCTTTGTGACTTGGTTCAAGTGTGATCGCGATCTGTCTTGGATTTATAAACTGTTTCTGTTATAATGTTTTTACGATACGTGTGATCGACGCGTGCGCGCCTATGTGCATGGTCGAATCGTCTGTGGCTCGTTCTCGGCCGCTAACACCTATACTCGCATCACGCATCGACGTGACCTCTTATCAATACATTGTGCTCAGTTCATCCACAAGGGACTTGAATGACACAATTATAATTTTATTGAGTCAGTGTCAAATTAGTCATTATAAAAATGACACATAGGTACTTTCTGTGTGACCTAAATACTTACTAACTACATATATCTATATCAATTCATAGTAATGAATCGTCAACGAAAGCTCAAAAAGTCCTGTTCATTTTACTTGAGTTTTTATTTAATATCAAAGCTATATTATATTATATTTGAGGAGCTGGCGAACAAAACGGTATAATTACATAAAATTATACAGGAGCTGTATAAAACTGAATGAACGTACAGTGAGCTTTTGGGATGGTTTTCAATTTATAAATTTAGTAATTTTAACAGTCTGTCTTAGGTGTTTTTGATTGAAAATGATTTCAGATTCAAATTTAACGAGCCCGAAACTTTCGGAGTTTAAAAAAAAGTAGTTTGACCAGATGCGTAATTATACCGTTTTGTTCGCCAGCTCTTCATTTATGATCCAAATTGAAATGTAAACTAAGAAAGCCTAGAAGCGCTAGTTGCATACCTTCCAGTTCAAAAAGTTAAAACCCATCAACAAACAGGGCGTACAGAGTAAATGTAGCTGACAACCAATTAATATTCTAAAATCTATCTAATGACAAAATAAATGAGACGTCTTTTAAATGTGGTAAGTAATAGAAGGGATGTTTTCATATTTTAAACTCTCGAGGACGAGCGTTGATGGTCTGTGATCATTATAAGATACGGAGCCCCTCAAAATTGAAGTGTTCAATTATTATACAACCAAATGTTGTGCAACTTAATTGCAATTACTCCGTGGTCGAGTGGTTCGTACGTCGGGTTTCATGGTGTCGCCAACTCGAGAGGTCCCGGGTCAATCTCGCCCGGTATCAACAATTTCCTATAACCAACACCAAGTATGAATTAAAAAAGTTTGCTCTCGTATACCTACATAATTGTAGGAAGAATCCGTTGATAACACTGATCATAATAAATATTACAAATACACACGACACGATAATGCTAATTTACTACGGCTGACATCACTCCTCAGCATTGTCGTCATATAGGTACATACTCACCTCTATTACAAATTTAAACGCGCCAAAGGAATGCGCTCACGCAAACTTGCTCATGTAGGACCAATTTGAAATATGCGGATTTTTCCTTTAATTATAGTTATCAAGAAAATACATTCATAATTCAGGTAAAAATTAAATAATTCCTTTTAAATTAATGAATTGTCATACAATGATTAATGTATATCACTGTTTTACTGTATACCGAATTCAATAATGAGAGCAAACGTCGCTCTCGGCACCAGAAAGACAAATGGAAAAAAATGCAGAGAAATATAAAATTTACGTGAAGTAAAAGCGTCGACCAAAGGCGTTAAAACTTGTAAGACAATCTAAATTTACCATAATTGAGGACTTCAGCAGTATTGATTTCAACGGTATATACTCTTTAATGATCACGTGTACAATTATATGTACTACTTAATATGAAAAAAAAAACTCATGTCACGAGTCACTTCACATGAAAACAAATTGTAAGTAATATTCTCTAAAGTATGTCTCTCGTATTTCTGTTTCCCGCGAAAATGAACGCTTTAATTTTTGACTATTGTGATGGTTGAATTTGTCTTGTTTCCCGTATTTTTGTGTTTGATCTTATAGTAACTTTATTTTATTATTAATAATAAAGTTCAATTTAGGCATATCAGTGTGTATGTGTGTGTGTGTGTGCATACTTTTACGTGTGTAAAGAAACTGTAACAAGAAAAAAATCAACTCGTCGTAGTGTATCAGCCCGTGACTTCACTTTATTTATCCTAATAGCGTATTAAAATTGTGACATCGCTGAAAATAACGAATTCTGTTTTTACACGCAATGTAGAACCTGAACTCGTTCTTGATGATGTCAAAAATTTTCCCAAGCATTGGTATGAATCCAAAAATATTCTGAAGGAATATGTAAAATATTATATATCTTCTGGACTTTCCTGCTCAACATAATACCTACCTAAACAATGGAACGGCGTCATCGATTGTCGCCAAATGGGTCAATTGTAGAATTATAATACCTAACATCTTTACGGGAACAACGGTTGTTAGTCACCGTTTTCAATTCTTAAAGAGTTATGAGTATAATAGTCTGTCACTAACCATTCCAGCCTCTCTAGCATGACCACCGATACGGGATATGATAAAGCGTTATATCGGCATTAACTGTCAGACTACTGTCAAACTCCACTGTAGTCTGACAGTCAATGGCGATATATCGCTTTATCTTATCCCGTTTCCATGGTCATGCTAGAGGGGCTGTAATATTTTATTCCAATAAATAACCAATTTTGTCACACATGCTCCCAACATGCATAACCTATTACAACACAACATCCTTAGCTCTTATCAAAATTCTTTATATTTATTATATACATCGTAAGAAATTTTACAGAAAAAAATCCACGATACCTGGACGATTTTTGTCATGTAAAAAATTCTTAAGATTTAATGTTCTAACTGTTAAATGTTTTAAATTAAAATATGCATATCATATTGACGACATAGCCTTACACCAGTGTTAATAAAGATAATATCTCTCTCACTAGCCGCATATCTTCCTTTCCTTCCCTTTTCTGCTAAAATAAAATCCCTGAAAACTGACTTTTAACAATAAATTTTTACTTCCCTAACGTCTTTGTTAATTTTACAATCGGTAGAATTTTTAGTTCTTAGTATTCAATCTACATAATTTTATTATCACACTATATTTTTTTTATAGATAGATCCGACAAATAACTCCACCCCACCTGATGTTAAGTGAAGGTGAAGTCCAGACGCGAAGATAGCTGATACAGCAGTTCTACCTGCCACACCAGCCATCCTCACCCTGCAATATCAAGTTACAAACGACACACAATTTCAGATTGAATTCAAGGTCGGTTATTCTTGCTGCTGTTCAACAATAGAGGTATTCTATGGTATTTCAAACATATAACTGGTACACATAACTGAAACAACGCTCGCCAAAGCACGTTCTAGCGATTATTTCAAGTTGTGTTTACTCATTTCGTTAGTGCCCAATGCAGTCCTGTCTTGTGTAAGTATAGTTACAACATAGCGAGATTCTTCGTCCAAGATCTATAGAGTATGAAAACGAGCAGAATCAAGAAAACTCGATAATAATATAATTACAAAAAATACTAAAAGTTCATCCTCACTGTTACGTTTGCACTTTTTAAAGTTAAAAATTCGAATTCGTTTAACCTGGTGCCAATATCTGTATTTATGTGTGTATTTATTGAAGTGTTAACTTATTTTCATTATTATCTTTCTTATTATTAAATTTGTTTAATGTTTAATAGCAAAAGTAAAAGAAAATAACTAACTTTAACTTATTTGGAGATAGATTAGAAGTAAAAGAAAATAACTAACTTTAACCTCAAAATCCAAAAAAAAATATGTAATTTTCACATATCGTAATGAATCATAATTAACATGATTGAGTTTTTACAGCAATCTAACTTGCCAATGTGTAATTTAAGTTATTCCCCACAGTTATCGCGGGATGAGATGGGACGCACACTGTGTTTCACAATGATTGTGTATATTTACAACGGTAGCTATATAATATGATATCAAAATCGATTAAATAATTCACTTTAAAATATTTCTTTAAACATACTTGTATTGTTGTACTAATAAGACTCAATCAATCAATCAGTCAGATTGATATGTTATAATACTAACAAAAAAAATGAGATGTTATAAATTAGGAAAATGATAAAAATCAAAGTTTGCATTGAATGCTTTATTATTTTTGAGATCCCAAAAACACACAAACAAACAGTGCATTTAATTCATAAAATATAGTTAGACACATGTTTTTGTACGACGCATTTTAAATAGTATGATAAAAAATTTATACGATATAGGTACTTAAAAGTAACAAACAATTCGATTATTCCTTACACTATAATAACTTATTAACTTAAATTTAATTAAAATGGCACTTGAAGCATCGGTTTCATCCTTAAAATTAGCAAAATTGATTAAATACATTCATTAGGTACGCTAAGAAATCACTCTGTGAGACAAAATGTGTTAACTTTTTTTTGTTTTTTTTTAAATTGATTCGTGCTTATGTGTCTATTCACTCCGAAAACAATATTGAATAAATATTTTCCATGCCGAGTCGCCGTTGTAAGATCAAGATAAAGAGTTATTAAACTAAAATAAATATTTGCACGTTTAACAAAATGGACCCTCATTGCAATACTTCGTAAGGAAGCGCTCGTGTTGTCACAACAGTCTGTTAAATAGACTTTAGGACGACAACTTCCTCTTCTTGAACATACACATGTTGTTCGGGCGCCACATATGACACGTAGGAGCGGTCCATTTGCAGTGCAGGCGGTGAGGTAGGCCCCGGAGAGGCGCGCGGGGATGGCGCCCGGGGCCCGGGGGCTAGCTAGCCACGCACATTCACCATAGTGCAACCGAAGATCTCGTCGAGCTGGCGTGATGAGAAAGTCACCACGATGCGCTTCTCGCCGTGCCGCCGAGGCACGAATTTATCCTGGTAGTTCACGAACTCACCTGGCTTCACATCCCGGAACCTTATCTAAAACAACACAGAACTTTATGTCTTACATCTACTCTATCGACGCAATAAAATATTAGTATTTGATCTCAAATTACCTGGCGCGGCCTCTGCACTCCGGGACCTTCGAAGGTGAAGTAGCAATCAGTCAGATGCACGCTTAGCGGGTTCTGGAAGCTAAATGTCACAGCGCACTCTTGGCCGACACAAGGTTGACTCCTGACCTGTGAATATGTAATAAAAACCAATTTATAGCCCCTATCAAATATAATCAAATATAATGATAGATAGAGAAAATCACATTTTCATTTACCTGCACTTGCATCCTTGGTTTGTGCAATGGGAAATCGTCCTCATCTGACCAAGCCTGACGAGTTTGCTTCACATAAGCCATAGCGTGCACCTTTATCATGGCATGATCCACTAGCTTATCCATGTACTCTTGAGGAGTGACGTGTAATTTGAGAACTTCTCGCTGTCCTGCTCTGACTATGAATTCGCCCTGCGCCCTTCGTAGGCGAGAAGCGATCGCGCCAGTGTAATAGCATGAAGATGCTGTCAATACACACCAGATGGTACGATCTTCATGCGACTTGTTCTGTGGACAAAACGAGAATTTATTACCAAAATTAATAGATAAAATGCAGACAATCGGTTAATGCAATTTATCAAAGTACAGGTTACCTGTATATTCATCGTGCAATCAAAAGGCTGGCCATAAGGCACGAGGTCTATATCCATAAGGTCGAAATAAACATCTTCAAAGTTGCGGTCAGGATATTCGTAATATTGCTGCAGGCGTTGGTATCCACGGCATGAGGCGATGACAGCTAAACGCTCAGGAGAAGAGCTGTCCACGGTTTTGTATTCATGAGTGATTTCCAACATATCACTTTCCCCTTCATCGTCATCGCGATTAGGATTTTTGGTGAGGATTTTGCGGCCAACTCTGAAATATTATAAATTAATAAAAGGTATATTTTTGTATTTCAGGGAAGAACTACGTAGACATTTAAGTAGAATAGACGTACTGATACTGATTCGAAGCCATTCTAATGAAGCCCCATTCCGAGTTTTCTTCTTCTTGGAAGTGGCATAACTCGGCGTTCAATTGGCAATACATGAAGGGTGTATCGTATTGGAAGCCTACTTCCCCTCTTCGCACAGCCTCTACACTAGCAGGACCGCAATGATATACGGCTTCAGCTTCTTCCTGTGGTGTGGAATCGATAATCTGCCAGCCGCTGTAACCTATTTAAAGTCAAAATTAATATAAACATACTTATTTTAAAATAATAAGAAATGCCACTTTCTAACATAACATAAGCTTAGTAACCTTGAGGTAAATCTGGCCTCTGCATCCAGACATCGTTCCAAACATGGAAATTCCAGCAAGAGTCGTAGCAGTCTTCATCAGGTCCATTTGGCACTTCGTTACCATCTCTATCGAAGTATTTATCAACGGTGAATGTTCTGTTGGTATCATGCGCAGATACGTAATTGGTAACCGATCTGCATGGAATACCTGAGATAGAATAAACAAATAAGCTATCAAGTATATTTTTAAGCATTTATTGTTTAAATCTAGAGAAAATATTATTACAAAAAAAACACAGTCCAGGCAGTAAACGGGACTCGAACCCACACCTTCCACCTTTCGGGCGGATGCACTTAATTATATTAATTTAAAATGTTTATCTGAAAAAAATATGTACCCAAAGCTCTGCAGATCGTGACTACGAGCCCTGAAAATACCCAACACTGCCCATATTCAACAGGTCTGCCGCCTTCGGTCAGGTACCTCTCCAGAATGGCGACGGAACCTGTCCAGGCATGTGGAGCTACACCGTCTTTATACTCGCCGTCGTAGCGACCAACCATTAAGCCATCATCGTCATGGTTTGAATTAATCTAAAAATAAAAACAAACATAAAAACATGAACAAGCTTCCCTTACTAAATATTAAAAAAGATTAAAAATATCGTTACCATGGACGAAATAGCTCTGCAGACCCGAATCGGATTACCGCGTTCAGAGTGCTCTAGGCCACTACGTTCCAATAGATACATGCAGGCAGGCAGAACCACATCGTCGAACTGTCCATAGATCCATTTACGTCCTTTGGGTTGACGCCAAGTTCCACACCAGATCTTCCCTTGCTCATTGAGCACATATTCCTTCCGAGATGACTCATTATCCATGTAAACAGGGTCCTCTCTGCACCAGGGATTGAACAGAATGTAAACATCCTCATCACATTTATAGTCCTGGCGATTGTCTCGTTGGCCGAAGCGGTTAGTCTGCACCCAACAGTTCCAGACACCGACAGGAGCAGTAGCTGGTACATGCACTTGGAAAGTTATTGTGTTTCCGTCCTGTCGTTGAATACTTATATCCCAACGGTCCATATCATGTGCAAGAGACGCTAAATTCTGCATGGATCCATGTCGTGAACCATGTCGTGAGCCATAACCACGACCAAATGACGAGTGCTGAGTTGTACCGCCATAGCGATCCACCATGGTTGGTCTATCCATGGGCCCGTGAGGGCTAAGGGGACTATGTTGTAAAGGCAAGGGTTCATTACTAAAGGAACTGCGACGGGCACCATAAGTAGTAGTTTCCCTCATTCCACTCATTGGTCCCATCGAGCTCATGGTACCCATAGTTCCCATAGTGCCCATGGTACTCATGTTTCCCATATTAGTGCTATTGTCTTGCATACGCGACATTCCCATACCCATGCCCATGCCCATTCCCATACCCATCCCCATCATATCACGAGAATGTTGGAAGACACCCTGCTGATTGCTCCAGTTTACAGGTAACACTACCCGAGTGCCTTTTGTAACACTCGGCTTAGGACCTATAATTGAAATAAAAAATATGCTTAAAATAGCGCCAGCTACCAAAATCATAGTAAACAATAAGAAAAAACTTATTATTAATTACTTACCGAAACAGAACACGATGCGAATCATATCCTGTTGCTTATCGTAAGTACGATCAAAGCGCACAGCAAAGAAGAAGTTCTGACCTCTTCTCAAAACAGGATTAGGTAAAACATTATCGTTTACCAAATCATATTGCTCGGTATGATGATCCTTCGAATTGTCACGAGAGTAAAATTCGGTGAGCTCAACTTTCAAAGGTTGTTGAGAGTAGTAGCTCTGAGGTATCATTTCCAAGGTGTCCTGACGACGACGACGTTCATTTTGATCTGCCATTTTGCAAATCATATTATGGGTGTATTGTGTATTAGGACTGTTCCTTGTCGAATGCTTCATGCGATGAAGAGCGCCTGTGCTGTGCGAGCGGCCTGGGCGATGTTGTGCCGTAGGTCCTGCACGCTGCATCGGCCAACGGCGACTCTGTCCTGGACGCTGGCAAAAACTCGAGATGTTGTAATAAGCAGACAGGCCCGGAACATAATTCGAAGGCATCCCACCGATGGTCATCTGCTGTTCTCTCATGCAGCTCAGTGTACTCATCCCTGATGTCAGTCCTGTTATACCACCAAGACCCATCCCAGTCATACTTGAAGTCATGCTGGAGGACATCCTGTCCATACTAGATCTTCGGACCATGGACATCTTGGCGTAGATGCTATACGTAAACACTGTTTAACGGGCTCAACTCAGGAGCGCACTGTGCTCCGGGAAGAAACCAGAGCGAATGATGTCGTTGGCATGGTTCGAGGACTTTATATATTGCTGGAGGATCATTCACCACTCAGGTGTCAGTTGTCAACAGAGGCGCCTGGGCCGCGACATTCTGGCAGTACCATTGTTTGTGGGCACTGAATTGTGCGTAAACGGGATCATCTCGTAGCTACACACAAACTCCGTGCTTATTACAAACCTAGACAATAGATTTCTATTACGGCTGTACTTGTAATGAACCTACATTTTACTTAAAACAACTTCGTAATTAACATACTAGAAATGTTTGATTGCTCCTTCAGTGGCCATATCCCGATGAGGTATTGAAGTAACAAACTTTCTTAGACAAAGTGTCCCTTGTGTTATGGAATGATTCTACTAATATTATAAATGCGAAAGTTTGAATGGATTTTTGTTATTCTTTTACGCAAAAACTACTGAGCAGATTTTGATGACATTTAATACGCATCTAGCTTATGAGCTGGATTAAGACATATGTACTTTTTTATCCCGGCAAAGTCTGAGTTGCCGAGGCATTTTCAAAAAACTGAAATTAACACGGGCGCCCGCTAGTTGAATATGATATTTTTTTGCTGCAACTAAATAGGAATCATTAAATTTTTCGAGTAAATTTAATCCAAAATATTAAACTGTTCTATAAAAACTTCCATTTATATAAGATAGCAAGATAGCAAGTTACTTAAAAGCCCTGTAATGCGAAAAACATTATCTATCATTTACCTTTTGAAAACTTAAAGATTCGAACTGCAGGCAGTTGCAGCAGGTGATTAATGCTTTTGCTTTTCTTGATAACAGTGTCTGGCGAGTTCATTATAAATACCACTATCATATTATATGTATTTTTTTATGTGATACAAGGTGTTTGGAAAAATCCCATAGCCACAACATACCCATGTTAACATGTAAGTATACCTATATAATTGTCAAGTACATCGTAGTCAGATTTGGAAATTAAAAAAAAACTACTCTATACAAAATGACTGATCAGCTAGCTGATCGAGGTAGTATGAGAAGTTGGTTTTCTATATATATTATACTTATTAAACGCATAACAGGTTACATCGTTCTCCTGTATAAGCATTGCAAAAAATGTTAGTAAGTATTTTCGTGATATAAATGACCTAATTGCAGGAAAACCAACATCGTCATAGGAGAGTACGAAATACAAAATGTAGTGTAAAAATCAAATATAAATTATAATGCCTCGAACAAATGCCTACTTACTTAAGTTAAAAAAAACTGTAGATTTTGCCGGTTCGTGTTGTTTCCGCGGTGATTCCTAAATATGCTTACTTATCTTATTTTAGGTAGTATTGTTTATGGATTATACACAAACGAGGAAAATAATAATACTTACAAACAAGCAAGCTTCCCGCCTTATGTACCTACTCAGTTTTTGGGAATCCTACAGGAATATATCATTTTATCGGGATGAACAGTGCCTTATGTCTCAGTCCAGTTAATTAACTATGAGTATGCCAAATTTCACCAAAATCCGTTCAGACGTTTCTGCGTGATTAAATAACAAACACACAAATCTTCACATTTATAACATTAGCACGATAGGATATCTTAAAGAATTTGTATCTTAGGTTTTCACGCACATCACTCATTAAATAAAAGTTTTTACGGGTTATATGCACTGAACTGAATTTATTCATTATTGACGTTTCGCATCCTTTTCAGGAATGCATATTATTCCGATGTTGCATTCCTGAAAAGGACGCGGAATATAAACGAATAAATAAATTCAGTGCATATAACCCGTAAAAAACTGTTTTATTTATCTTAAAGAAGTATTGTTTGTATTAATAAAGTTATAAATCATTTTATTCAGATCCACTTAAATAAATTAGGTACTCAAGTACGCAAAGAGGTGTTTTTTTTTATTTAATACTTATTGTAAATTTCATCAATTAACAACTTTATTTCAAAAAAACTTAATAATATCCCTTTTAAAAATTACAGTGCAGAACGGCCCTTTTGTTTCGTGTCGCTACCGTCGTTACGCCAGTTTACATGGATATGCCAGAGTGGTTCACTGCCCTCGGGAGGTACTGTACTTGTAAAACAACCCAAATGACAAGAAAGATTGTAACAATGTATCATCAATGTACCTATGCGTGTCATACCCACCATAGCAATGTTTTTCCTGGTTAAAGGTTAATGGTTAAAGGGGAAAAACTAAATTGATATGCTCAGACGTATAACATACGGGGTGTGGACATCCTAATCTATATTATTAATTAAAGAGAGAAAAGGATATACTGACAGACTGACTAACTGACTCATCAACGCACAGCCGAAACGGCTGGACCTAGAATAATGAAATTTGGACAGCAGGTTTCTATTATTGCCTAGACAAGTAATGAGATGGGATTTTTTGAAATTCAGCCTCTGAAGTGTGAAATATGCAAAAAAACGTTTGTCCGTAAAATCTTATCCCTTGGACCTATCTCCGCCAACAATGTAATTAGTATGAATCAATAGATCTATGAAAAACTAGCCTTTTTTATTATAACACCGTGAAAAAATATCCTGTTAGTCAAAAGATATGACACAGTAAAAAATATCCTGGTAATCAAAAGATATGACACATGAGCATATTTAAGCAGAGATGTGAATTATTTGAAATACATATATTTGAAATGCAAATACAAAATGCAAAATACCTGTTTTTATTTATATTTGAAATACTTTTTTTTCTAAATGAATCGGTCATTTCAAAAGCCTCATAAGTCATAAAATTATAATTTTTCAGAAATCAATAAAAACTGTTTATACACAAACAAATGAGTTTCAAAAGACTTTTTTAAGTTTAATTTAGTATTTGAGTGGTAAAAAATTAAAATAGCGTAAAACCTTTACAGTTTATTAAAATAAATAATGAAAAAAACCTGTAAAAACAGTTCTTGACTTATGTTGTTTTAGCGAAAAATGGGGTAAGTAATGTGGTATATAATTTAACCAAAACAATAGTAGGTATCATAATTTTATTGCTTATAATTAAGCATTAAACTTAAAAATAATCTTATTATCATTTTACATGTATTAATTTGTCATATTTTAATATCTTTATGGCACATAGTCATATTCTCCATCATTCTCATCTGGATTATCTTCAACATTTGCAGTTGGCCAGCTAAAAATATTGTTATAAAATGGCATATTCTCTTCCAGAATGCAATCTTGAACTTGTTTTTAATCGTCTATTTTTTTTTATTAATGGGCACTTTCAAATCATAGGCTATAGTTGATGGAAGTGAAACAGAAGTTGTTAATTTTGTTAATAAGAATGAATGTTTAATTAATCCACCGATATATTCCTCGGCTATGATAGTTCCTTTTCGATCTGAATCATACTGAAAACTCATGTATGTCAAAAGTGCAAATGACTTTTTCTGGTCCTTTGGTACTTTTTTTCCATAAGATTCAGTTAACAAACATGTTTTTCTGTAGTTGAGTAAAGACAAGTGAAGTTCAAACGACATTAATGGTTCTATTCTATTCTATTCTTTTTAATGGCAATTGTGTCGATGCCAATGTCGACAATTCTGCCAATATCAGAAGTGATGGCCAAGCGTGTGTTTGGTCGATTTGTTCATAAACCTGTAAGGAAAATCTATAGTTTATCCAGCGATGACATTGAGACTGGATGTGTTTATCCTTCTTGGACCTATTGGTTAGTATGCTGAAACAAAGACACAAAACTATTCTGTAAGTTAAGCTCTTATATATATTAAACGTTAGAACTTTAAATTGCATTACACTACAGTATACATGTATATGATTAATTAAATTTGTCATAGTTTTATGGAATTACAATGGATAAAAGTCATCAATGTCCTGGCAAGTTTAGGAGTAAAATATGTGAGAAGGGAAGCCATGTTGATCGGGAGCGGGATTTTTAACTCTGCGAGACGGTGGTATAAGTCAAGAGAAGGGAGATTTTTGGAACAGCTGAAGAAAATATGTTCCAGGGTGCCTTCGTCTAAGCCACATTCGCAAAGAGAAGAGTCCGTAACACGAATTTTATGTAGGAAAACGGGCGAACAACAATGTCCTATGCGCATACGGCATAGGACTGATACGGCAGTTTTGGACGATTTCTTATATTTAAAGAACCAGGGTCTAATATTTACGATCGGTTGGATAGCATAGTAGAATTTGCCTTTGTTTTTCCCCGAGTTATGCCAATACGACTGCCAAGAAGTCAGTAATTCCTTTTTAGGCAGGTTTAAGAGGTCGTAAGTTTGGAGGCAAAAATATTTTCTGTCTGCGACCTCCGATGAAACCGCACTTTGGCAGAAATATCAGAACAATCATTGCCTTTTATACCTGAATGGCTTGGGATCCAAACAAGTTGTATTGTTTTGCCCTTTTTGGCAGAGTTAAAGGGAGACTGTTTGATGTTTAAGATTATAGAGCTATTTAACTTGCTTTGTAATGGATGGTGTTCTAGAGCTTGCAAGCCGCTCAGCGAATCGGTAAAAATTACTGCCTTTTCTATGCTGTGCGTACCTATGAACTAGGAAGCCTCTAATATCGCTACGCACTCGCCTGTAAATACAGAGAATCTATTGGACATTTTAAGTTTTAAAATTATTTGCGAATCTTGGTAGTAGACAGCTGCTCCAGTATAACCTGTATCCGAAAGTTTTGATGCATCTGTAAAGAACCTTTGGAACCCTGCCCACCGTTCGTTTATCTTAATCGTAAAAATATAGATTCCGCGTAAGGAGAACTTTTCGTAATTCCAATGTCGTATACGATTAATGGTTTGAAGCATAAGACTTCATTGCTTATATTAAACATAGGGAGTCTTTCACAATCAACGATGGGAGCTTCTAGATTGTTGAACATACGATACGCTTTTATGATTAGAGGTATTTCCCTATTTTTCCAAAAATTTGAGACATTGCAGAGGTGATTCAATTCAGATAATTTCCTTAAGAGTGGATGCGAGGATTTGAGAAATACGCGAAAGAGGAATCTAGAGGCCAAATATTGTCTTCTTAGGGCAAGTGGTGGATCGGCGCTTTCTACCTGCAGAGCGTTAACAGGAGAAGACTTCATGCAGCCCATGATAATTCGCAAGTATCCAGCTTGGGATCTATCCAGTCTTGAAAGAGCTCCCTTGTTAAATGGAATCAGTAGAAATGTGTCATAATCAATAATACTACGGGTTAATGCATTGTACATAAGTTTCATAGTGAATGGATGAGCATCCCACCAAACGCCAATTAAGGCTTTAAATATTGGGACAGTTCTTTCACATCTTTCTACCTGGTAGTTGATGTGATACCAGATAATATCTGGTCCAGATAGACGCCCAGAAATTTTGCTTTGGGACTTATTGGAATGGCTTGGTTTTCGATGTTGAGGGAAATTTGAGGGTATTTTTTTTACGTGAGAAGATGACAAAATTGCTTTTTGTTGCTGACAAAGATAGCCCGTGTTCTGTCAACCATTGGTTTAGGGATTCCAGGGAAACAGAAAGGGAGGCGGCTGCATTCTCTATAGTTTTCTCGGCAACGTATAGCGTAAGGTCGTCAGCGTATTGTAAGATGTGGCAGTCATTGTTTAGGCATGAACCTATGTTAGCCGTATAGAGATTGTACAGCAGAGGACTTAAGACAGAGCCTTGAGCAAGGTCTTTCCATGTCTTCCTATGAGGAAAATCTTCACCCTGGACTCTCAAAATCAATGTTCGATCCATCAGTAGACTGTATATGCACTGTATCATCTTCGCCGGAAGTCTCAGCTGTTGCAGTTTCTGCCTGAGAAGGGGAAGAAGTACACTATCATACGCAGAGGAAATATCTAGGAAGGCTGCAACGACAGATTCCTTTTTGGATAGAGCTATGTGGATATCAGTAATAAGGGTCCCTACATTGTCCATGGTACCGACGCTCTTCCTAAAACCAAACTGTGATGATGGGAGTAGATCTCTGGATTCTACTATTCATTCTAGTCTGTTTTTTATTATGTGTTCGAATATTTTGGCTAAGGTAGAGGATAAGGCGATTGGTCTGAGACCGTTGGGGTCATCGAAGTGCTTTCCTGGCTTTCGAATGGGGATAATAAGGTGTGTGGACCATTGGTCTGGGACCCAACCTCTTGTGTAGCAGGAATTATATATTTCTAGGAGATATTTCCTAGCATTGGTGCCAGCACTGACATTAAAGGAATAGAGTATCCCATCTATTCCAGGGGAAGAATCATGAACCTGTTTAAGATCATTTTCCAGTTCGTCCAGAGAGAATGGAGCATCCATAGGATTTTCAGAGGAGTTATCTATTGGGAAATTGAGAGATTCTAAGTAGGTGGGTGCATATGCAGCGGCTATTTTGTCAAAGAAGGCTTCAGCAGTCTCACGGGCTATGGGAGCCGATATAGGTGGGGCACAATACCGACGGAATCTATTGATACTTTTCCATACCGTTGTGAGTGGTGTTGAGTACGATAAGGAAGAGCAGAATTTTACCCAGCCTGCGCGTTTCTTCTTACGGAAGATCTTTTTAGACTTGGCAAGGGTTTGTTGGTAGGCAATTAGATTGGAGGTGGTCATTTCCCTGTTATAATTTTTTTCGGCGTTGTTTCTTTCTCTGATGGCCATGGTGCATTCCCGATCCCACCAAGATGGAGAGGGGATTTTGTTCTGGGCGCAATTCTTAATTGGGAAAGAAACATCTGCGCCGTAAAAGTATCAACACATCTCTTAAGGAGATGCGGATCAAAAACAGTATTAACAGAAACGAGGGATGGTAATGTGGGATTTTTGTCCTCCAATACTGAAGAAAACTTTGACCAATCGGGAGTAGACAGATTATATCTAAGGAGAGGAGGGGTAGATTTTTCGAGATATGTTCTTTCTGTTATGGTGGTAACTATAGCATAGTGATCACTTCGGTATGTCAGATCTGTGCAGTGCCATTGGGCAGCTGCGGCTAGACTCAGTGAACAGAAAGTAAGGTCCACACAGCTTTTACGTTGGCCGAGAAGAGATCTCCTAGTAGCGCTCCCATCATTTAGTAAGCACATATTCAGTTCATCGAATAGTTCCACTAGGCCTTCACCAAAAGAATCACATCGTTCCGATCCCCATCGGAAGTGGTGACAATTGAAATCTCCCATCACTATCAGTGGCCCACTTATAGCACCAAAAATATCTTTTAATATTTGGAGATAATTAAGGTGGGGATGGGATATATAGATTGAGAGGACTGTAATGCCCTCTATTTTTGCTGCAGCAATATTTAATTGTAAAGTGTCAATGGTCATGGTCAGGGGTTTCAGTGGTACGTTGTTGTTAATAAGGAGGGCGCTTCCCCCTCCCACTCCGTTAGGTCTATCATTTCTTAATATATTATAATAGAGCATACAAAATCTGAGATTTGGGGAAAGAGAAGCCTCAGCTATAGAGAATGCTATAGGTTTGAATTTGTTAATCAAGTGTGGTCTTGTTTTTTAAACCAGATACTCCTAACGTTCCAATGAAGAAAAACTAGTTGAGGCATTTTTAGATTTAACTAAGGAGGAAATGAGATGATTGGCAGCGTCCGACGGTATTTGAAATGGGGGGTTGGAATTATTTCCAGAGATAATAGCAGTTACAATATTTAAGAGGAGTGAAATTATGGATGCCGTATCTGTATGTTCGGAAGTGGAGTTTTGGGAGCTCAATGCACAACCATTTGGTTGGGAAGATTGTGGGGTCAAAGTAATGGACTGATGGAGGGTTTTGTCATACGATGGAGAGAGTGGTCTATGTGTTTTCGGTCTTAACTGGACTGTTTTCCTATAGGAGTTGGTATTGCCTCTGGTGATGTTTGCATATGAGGTAGTTTGTGGGATAGGAACTGTTTTACTTGCTTCAGCATATGATATGACTTGTTCAGCCATAACTTTCTTAATTGCCTTCTGCCTACCATGTTCGGGGCAATCACGACTAACTGCGTAATGACTCCCAGAACACAGTATACAAAAGGCTTCTTCTTCTGGTAAGTCGCAACCATCTCCTGGGTGTTCACCGCCGCATTTACTACAACGAGGTTTAGACCTACACACTGTGGCTATATGGCCAAATCTGCAACAATTCCGGCACTGTATAGTGGGGTAGATGTATTGTTTTACAGTAAGGGCTGTGTATAAACAGTATATCTTCTCTGGAAGAATCTGTCCGTCAAAGGTGAGTACGCATGTTTCTGTGGGTCTCCATTCTGGAGCTGTGTCTTTTACGAATTTTCTATTAATGCGTCTCACCTTTAAAATTGGGCCACACCCAGAGGGAACTACTGTGTACTTCTTAACTTCCTCCTCAGACATATTTGTAGGGACTCCTGAGACTAAGCCCATACGGGTTATGTTATAGGATGGAATGTTAGCTTGAAAACCATGGGAAGTTAAAATTGTATTGGACAGGAACGCATTAGCATCCTGGGGAGGCCTGAATTGCACCGCTACGCGGTTCCTACCTAGTTTTTTAATTCCATCTCGCATTATGTTATTGACATTATTTTTATGGAGGAAAAGACCGAGGTTGACGGGATGTAGGGTGGTTCCGGAGTTGGGTTGAGGGTCTATCCGGGACACATGGACGATAAAAGGTCCTTTGTCTATTGCCAAATACCTCCTGGCTCCTAGCTTGCTTCGGGGGTCGATCGGTCGGAGGCGAATTGTCATTAACATGGCGCTTAAGGGAGTGATTATTAGCAATTTCTGCAAATTGGGTAAGTGGATTTTCAGTGCTCAGATCGGGAGAGTCGTCGTAGGTGATATGGGAGGCGTCCATTTTATCCGGAGGGTCCGGAGGCTTGCTTTTATCCATTGTTAATTGTTAGAAAACACACACAAAACAGTACAAACCTGTTTTACACGTACTACAACATACACAGAAGCACAAATAAAACACAATTGTAACAATGAATCGGCGGAATAACACAAAAAGGTTTTAAATTCTATACACACGTGCTAACCAAAACACACTCTGTGACAGAAGCGACATTAATGGTGATGGTTTTTGGAAATATTGTTGAACCTTTCAAAGGGTACGGCCAGAGTGCACTCAGATTCAGATTCAGACTCAGAAAACAAGCGCGAGAAATAAACAGTGTAGTTAAAGCAGGATGGCCATAGTGGCAGCAGGCAACCTGCTTAAACTTCACTGTTTATTTCTCGCGCTTGTTTTCAGAATCTGAATCTGACTCTGAATCTGAGTGCACTCTGGCCGCACCCTGAGTCTGAATCTGAATCTGAATCTGAGTGCACTCTGACCACAAAACAAAGCTGTCATTTAAAACTCGGTCATAAACTACTTCTGCCATCTAGTGGTTCATGCAAAAACCTCTTAAGTCACTGACTAATGTTGTTTATGCCATGAACGTCTTTCACGCGGTATTGTTAAAAGAGGAAGGAATGTATTGATTTAAGTTGTTTTCACCCAGAATACGCATCTACCTTTGAGGAACCATTTTCAGCAAAAAAAACATGGTGGAAAAAAAGTGACTTAAGTGGTTTTTGAAATGACCGATTCAAATGTATTTTGTATTTCAGCAACAGCTTAGCAATACTTTTCATTAGTGAAACTGTAAAATCATTTATTACTCAAAAGTCACGGTTTGTCGTGAATGATTTACGTAATCGCCATTTTGTTATCAAGAGAATGACTATCAATAATTGTCCTTTTCTTGATAACAGAATGGCGATTACGTACAAAACACAGTGCCGTAAATAGGGCGGTGCCACCGGTGCCCAGGCGCAGGACGTAGACTCTGGAGGGCGCAAGAATTAAATTAAATGGCCAGACCGCAGGCAGGACTATTATTTTTTCGGTCTGCTCCTGATAAGTTCCCGCTGCGACCCTAGTGCTTGATATCTTTATAACACAGAATATACGCAATATTGTTATATTGATTACACATGCAGCGTGTTTGAATGTCCAATTGTGACTAAAGCGAATTATGGTCATGCATCACAATTTAAGCGGTTCGGTTCACTATTGAGCCGCGAATGCCGTATCTTCCCTCTTTGTTTTAATCTAAGCATGTGAATGACAGCTGGGCATAATGGAAAAGTATACGCAAAGCTTGACCTAGATGGCGCTGCAAACGCTTGACCCTAACCACAGCCGAATATTGCAGCTGTCATATTTTAAACGTGTTCTTTTGTTGTGAAAAATATTAAATAAGTGATGAAAATGTATTCAACATGGTCTGAAAACAGAGTTGGAAAGGAGAAGCAAGGCAGAAAAGATAATCTAGTAGAAAAAGGAACTCTTTCTATTATAATGCTAGAAAGCTCATTCTTGGTATATAAATGCATTTTCCATGATTATTTTAGTAGTTCTTGGATCTCAGTAATTTTAGTAGGCTCATTAGTGAAATCTATCTCATATTTGCATCAGTCAGACGTCTCATAGAGTTAGGTTATCTCGGGCTAAAATGGGAAGTATAATATTGGGTTTTTTACAGACTTGAGGCCGCAATTTTAATTTTGGTGCAGTTTTTTCTGATCAAAATGAAGACATCCAGATGCAATTACCTGCCCCAGATACATACCATGATGTAAACATCAGCTCAGTTTTACCCCCGCTTTCAAAGCAACATATTAAATTATATTTTAATCGGAAAGCATACAGTATTCTCCCAACAACCAGAAACTGCACAACGCGGCATTAGTAATTTGTTTAATAAAAAGCTTAAAAATGAATATAAGTTAATAGGGATATGTATTTGATAGAAGTTTTGGGTCAAGCGATTACAGCGCCCCTAGTAGCCAAATTTTGCAGATTTCTTGTCCATTGGAGCAGTCATATTTATCTATGTCTTCTTCTATATCTAAGTGAGACACTGGGCAAATTTTTAGAATCTAAAATATAACTTCCATGAAAAAAAAATTTAATCTTTTCAAAGAACTTTCAAGCAGCATTGAAATTAGGTACCACGTCAAAGTGAAGAAACTTACTATCAAAATTTTCCATGCGCTCCTCGAGCGCTTCACTTTCGTAGGCGTTGGTTTATTTTGAAACAGCCAAACTATGACGCTTTGTTTCTGGGTCGTATTGATAAATCCAGGATTCGTTACCTGTCACAATATCGGAAACGCGCTGTGACGAGCCTGCATAATTTTTTGTATCATATCATTGCACCAATCCACACGGGCCTGTTTCTGAGCTTCGCTGAGGTTTTGCGGCACCCAGCGGGAAACTATCCTCCTTACGGAAAGGTGCTCGTGCAAAATCTTGTGAACATTTCCTGAACCAATCTGCAGAGTATGCTGAATCTCTTCTTACGTCATTCGTCTGTTTTCTTGAATTAAATTTTTTACTGCCAGCACACTTTCTTCGGTGACCGCCGTCGTAGGACGAGCACTCCTTTGTTCATCCCCCAAAGTATGACGACCGCGTTTGAACTCGCTACTCCAGCGGTAGATGGTGCTTTTGAAAGTCCTTCAGCAAAAAAAAGCAGTTTTAAATCGATCAAATGACTCATCAGGTTTCAATTTTAATTATAACACATTTAAAATCGTAAAATATCATAGCACGAAAATGTTCTCGATGCAGATCATTTTTTTAATGAGACAAGAAGAATTTAATTGGCTCTTAATAAAATGCGGAGCGAAATTTTAAAAACGAACAGTGGTATATTTACTTTTAAATAATCGAAGTTTTCAAAATAATTACAAGTGACCAGTGTCTTAAGCATAAAAACTTTTTCCGCAAAACTTTCTGAGTGGCCAGGTATTCTATACAAAGTAAAGAATTACAATAAAACAACATTTTTCCCAACAAATTTTACGGGAATGAGACTACGATTGTCAAATCCTGTTTCTTAAACCACTTAACTGATTTTCAAAACGAAATCCTCAATTTTTGAAATTGTAGAAGAATAAATACAACTTGTGATCCGTCAAAGGGTAAAAAAAACTCTGTCAGTTAGTTGTGATTCGTCAAATAATAAAAACCCTGGCAGTCAGTTGTGATCCGTCAAAGTGTAAAAACCTCTGTCAGTCAGTTGTTATCCGTCAAATAATAAAAACTCTGTCAGCCCGTTGATATCCGTTAAATAATAAAAACTATGTCAGTCTGTTGTGATCTGTCAAAAGTAAAAAGGTCTGTTAGTCTGTTGTGATCTGTCAAAAGTCTGTCAGTCTGTTGTCATTCGTCAGAGTCAAAAAGTCTGTCTGTGTCGTGGCGTGGCGTAACTGCGAGGCTTCCAAAAGGCAATGGAAAAGGTTTATATAAGAATCAGCCTAATTTTGTAAAACGATTTTTAAGAGTTCCGGAGTCGAAATTATTATAATATACGAGTTATATACAAATTGCTGTTTTCAGTTAGCATGAAGCGCGAGCGAGCGAATTGCGCGAGAATCCCGCGCGGTATTCGCCTTAGTCCGTACTCTACTTAAAGACAATGTAAGTAAGGTAATAAACATCAAAATGTATGATAATAAAATTTAAATTCATTCACATTCAATAGTGGATTATCGAATGGCAACACTAAACTCTGGTTGCCTAGGCAACAAATAACCGCGCTTTGATTTGATAGGCAAATGAAATCAATAAAAACAAACAGTATTTTGTGAAGTGAAAGTGAATTTAGATCACATTCACCGATTGGGAAATAATTTATAAAAGATACCCGCATCAAATACGAATACTCAAGACTATGGGTTTATACAAGCTTTTTAGTTGTAACGTTGAAATACAATACAAAAGTTGCTTGCTGTCCAAAGCTATGTTGTTTACATTAGTAACTACACTGCTAACGATTATCTTGCCATTTTTAATCGCTTATCGAAGTAGAGGTATGTACATGAACCCTTGCTAATCATTTAATGTCCAAAATTAAAGAAAACAAAAGCCGGAAACATATTACTTTTATTACTCCCGTTTCTTACCATAGGGTTTTGGCTTCGAACTCATAGCTATTACGAACAACCGTCTGTACGTTTCGCATATGAATACTTATTGGTGGCTGAAACGAATGACCCTAGTCAGCCAATAGTATGTGGTGAAGCTGCTGCCCTAAATCAAGAGTTTGTTAACGGAGAAGAAAATTGTGTACAAATCCAGGTAAAACTATTCTCTCTTTAACTTTGCTATATGAGTTTCCTGATTAAGACACGGCACAACCATTAATAATAATATTATAAAAATTCAACCCCATCCTGTCAAACCTTTACTAAGATGATGTATTAATGGAAACACCCATTTTTATTTATAGACAGAAATAGGTAGAGGTAGGCTCTTTGAACACCTGATCCATGGATTCCTGTATTATAGTTTTGTTAACTGAGAAATTTGAATTTCTTAAATTATGTCAATGCATAATATAAGAAATTCATATTATGCATTGATCTTTGTATATTTTTATATAAGTTCTACTTAATATTTTTTCAGGCTCAAGAACATGATTTCAATGAGGATGGTAAAAATGATGCCTTAGAATTAAAATTTATCCTTAAGGTGCCACAGGAGAAGACAATTTCATCAGTTTTAGTCATATTAGCTTTAGATTTCCAATTAAAGGTATAAAGTTACTATTGATTCCTACAGCATTATGATGTAATATTTTATAAATGTCCCTTTTTTCAGACAACCTGCCCATTACATATGCAGAGTTTGGCTTTCATACGAGAGTCATTTATATTACCACCAACTGGATTAAAACATTATGGAGATATTGAATTCTATCAAATCACTGATCTGCCCTGTGTCCGTAATATTATAGACATTATATATAACAACTCTTTAATGAGTTATTCAAAAAGAAGTAGTGAGAACATAGTTGAATTTATCATGACCAATTACTTCCAAAGACAATGTAAGATCTAAATTATTTAATACTTAAGGTTTCATTTTGATAAAGAAATTTATATTTATTATTTGTATGTTGCAGTTACAACACTTGTTAAAACTTTATATTCAAATGGATACAGTGGTCATACTGGACACTTGAAGATAGACCTACATTTAAGAATACCTGAAATGGAAGTAAAATATACACCTAATTTCTTACAAGAATTGAAATGGGCCTGGCCTCAATATTTATCACTAGCCTTTATATTCTACTGGATCTTCAATAGAATAAAGATGTTTGTATTCAACCACCGGCTGCTCATGGCATGGAAAGTAGTTCCATGGAAGAAACATTAAGCAGCATTCTAACAGACTTACATAGATTACAATACATGCCTTTCACTCATTATATATACTCAACAGTAGATGGTAGACAAATATAAGAAAAGTCCCAAGCTGTTATATTCTTCTTAACTTCACACCAACTGAGGTTGAAATGTAAAGTGCAGCTTCCTGTACTTCCATTCATATAATTATCTCAAAATGCCAATTATACTGTAAATAAAATTAAGTAGATGTATGAAACTATTAGAGCTATTACACTTTGATTTGAATAAAAGACTTTTTTTCACAACATTATTATCATCTATTTATGTACAAATTGCTTCTGTACAACAAGAAAACAAATTCTACTTATCTAAATTTATTTTACACTGTACATTTATTTTATATTAATCTACTGATTGAGTGTCAAAGCAGGTAATGCTCCTCCAAACTTGTTTTGGTGGTCTAGCTCAGCTCTGTTGTCTTCAATGATAAAAGTTTTTCCACTGTAGTCATCCAATTGCACTAGTAGGTACCGGCACATATAGTTACCATAATCATTCTGTAAAAAAAATTAAATAAACAAAGTGTTTTAAAGCATTTTAAAAACACATTATGTAAAAATAACAGAAAATGTACCTACCTGTTTCATATCTAATTCTACAACAGCCTTGTTTCTTATGCCTTTTATGTAAAATTTCATTCTCATATGTTTAACACCATCTTTTTCATAAACTGCATGACTGACATGAGTTCTCCTTCTCCTTGTAGTTTCTTCCCCGTAACCTTTGATTGGTGAACCAAGGGCATCTTCTACCCTGGGATCCTAAAACATTATAATTTAATGATCAGTAACATCAGAATATTTTATAGTGATCACTACAAACTAGTTGTACCTACAAATCTCGAAAGATGTTTGTTAAATAAAATTAAATCTAATCAAGCTACTGCAATCAGAACCCAATCACTAAGTTGATTTATTAGGTTAAGCATTACTCATCTGTAGATGTACTAATTTAAGAAATTTTAAATTGAGTGTTTTAGTTATTCATATACAGTGGACCCCAGTACTCCGACAAACATTTTTCAGGGCAGTATCGAACTATTGAATTTGTTGGATTATAGAGTACTGCCTAAGCCCCCCTATAATCCAGTTATTTTTAAAACAAGTATCTTGTAATCTGACAAATTACAGAAGTAAAATCTGATTCACATAACGCAATTTTACTAACTACTGGGAGTTAGGGAGTAAGGAACCCCATTTAGGGCGATTTGCGCGATTTACATTTGACTTGCCCATTATTTGTCAGAGATAACCAAGCTTGACTTTTTCAAGTCCTGCCAACCCATGCTACACAATAAATATAAATTTTAATTCTTTATTTTGTATCACAATTTAATATTTCTTGCAACTCTGGGGGTGACATGTTTTATTTTGTAAATTCTTTATTTTAGTAGGTAAGTTGTTTAAGCTATATAGTTTTTAAGTTTGTGTTCTTTAAATGTCTAATATTTAAAATATATTTCTTTATACTTTAAATGAAGTGACATATCACTTACATTTTTACATTTTTCAAGAGCTGTCGAGTAAATACTATTGGCACTATTACTTGAGAACAATTCTCTAAATACATAGAAGAAAATGACTCCAGTCACTCCAACTCCAAGTAGAATGATACCAGTATAAGATACAGTTTTGGTAGTTTCTTTTATTTTTTCTCCCAGAGGACGAACATCGGTGGATATTTCTGCTGTATCTTTACTTTTAGTTAAGCCTGTATCCTTATTCGTGGAATAATACCGGCTATTCCCAAGTTTATTTGCTTGAATCAAAACTGGTACGAAATGTAAAGTTTGTGTTGTGCGCAAAACAGGCAGTAATTTCGAAATTATTGTCATATTAGTAACCGTACCCTCTTACTGAGTAGATGAATTAAATAAAAAATAAAGTAGAATTCTCTATAATCACACGGATAGAAAAGGGTATTTTATTTTTATGAGAATTGTTGTTTTTGATTGACGGGGTAGTAAAGTATCAAATAAACTCTGTTGTCTGTGGTTGATATTGACAGTTGCACCGGTGGGCCCCGTTCTGTAAAGCCAGAAATATATTTGTCTGTCGTGTTGTGTACAGGCGGTTCTTATCGTTTTCGACCAACCGATAGCAACCGCTATTTTCGCTCTACACCTATAGACAGTGGTTGTTTACGGTTGAAAACATTTCATTATTTTATATTTAAATATTTCATTATGTTTTATTATAGCCGTTTTATGTTCTTAGACTTAGAAGTTAGAATGTAAGTAAAGTCCTTTTCATGCTCTGACATAGGGCCAGCCAGTCTATCTGCTTAAAAGTCATTGCTATTAACTTCATAGGAAGACCAAGTTGCGACAACCATCTGTCAAATGAACTGTGACTCCAAGGTTTGGAACGGTAAAAAATAAAGTTGCATCTGTATGCAACTTTATTTTTTACCCAATAAGCGTAGATCAAGGAACTTGTATACAGTTTGTCTATAAAGTCGTGACATTAAATGATGGCGCCACTAGTATGCATGTAGCAACCCTATATAGTCGGACCAAAATGATTTTGATCCTAGCAGTTCAATCAAGTAAAATAGGTAATTAATAAGACACTATACAGTCGTATTTTGTTTCTGTTTTATATAAAGTCGGTACCTATGCTTATAAAAAGTTTAGCCAAGCATATTTAATTGAATCAGAATAAAATTATTATAGATAAAATAGTACTTTATAGTGTAAAAGTGTGTAATGTTGGTGATTACCGCTGAGGTGCCATTGAGACCAGAGCCGTTAGGTAATCATCAATACACACAAGTATCATCATACGACGTTTTTTAACACACTTGGTAAGAAAATAATACTAAAAATCATTTTATAGTATATAAAAAGTTTATTTAGAGAAACACTTTGTAAATGTGCAGTTAGTAAAATTAGTGATAGGTATCTGCACTAAAGCATCTGGCCATGGTTCTTTATGAGACCATTTCTTTCTTTGGTCGGCCTTGCCTGTTTTCCCAGGAGTTTCAAACTTTCCATCATTCTTAAAACCTTCGTTGACTATCCGACTCTCTGATTTTCCTGAAAAAAGTAAAAAACTATGTAACGGAATAGAAACAATAACTTATTGACATGAAGCAATTAATTCAAAATTAGTAGAAAACCTGACCGAGTTGAACCATAATAACGTATCAAAAGAAATGGTCGTCATCTATGTCAATCTAGACATTGTAAATAGGTAATATTGTAGTACGACCTAAAAATGTGCAATGTAAACAATGCCTTTTTTGGTCTCAAAATCGTAAATCGAGTAAATTTGTAACTTCACGCAGATTACAAACAAATAGTTACACGATTACATACCCGTCATAGATGCTGTTCGCCCATTAACATCGTCCAAATCCCACAAAATTCGTCCAGCTTGGTAGTCTTCGAAACATCGCTGGAAAACTTTAAAAATCACTTCCCACGTGCCACTCCGATTTACTTTACTCATTTTTATACCTTTCTGCGTAGTTTCGTCTTAATTTATTACAGTTTAATCCAAACAATAATAAATACAAAAGGAAAACTGTTCCAACTGAAACTCGATGACAGCTGATGTACATAAGTTTGGTGCTGCCAGACACATGAATAATGTTAGTTCCACAAACATTAATGTCACGACTTTATAGACAAACTGTATGTGCATTCAATATGACAAAATTGCGTATATACTGAATGTAAAGCGATGTGGACTCGCCGTTTCGCTCGCGCTGCGTTGAAGCGTACAGTTCTGTCTCGCTCGCTCGATTAAATGTTTATTTACAGTAGTGTGCGTGTGTTTTGAGTTCGAGCATATTTTATTTGATGTTAGTTTAAGCGTATTGTATCTTCCCTTTTTGTTTAATCTAAGTACATATAATTTGGATGAGCTTGCGCCATTGGCAAGTGGTTAGCGCGTTCGGCTGCGATCGTTGAAGTTAAGCAACTTTCGCAGTGTTTGGTTATTGGATGGGTGACCAAAATTATACCTTTTTTTGTGACGCACTCAAAACCTCTGTTTACAGACGACGGCGCCTATAAGAGGCATACCACCGAACGGACCTCAAACTTGGCTTCCGCAAGCTTTACGAGCCCCCGCAGTGGCTGCCCACAAAAATTATACCTACTTACTCGAGCTTCTCCGTGCTTCGGAAGGCACGTTAAGTCGTTGGTCACAGCTGCAACTACAGTCGTTAGCACTCATCAAACCGCCCGGGCCCGCGTGGTGGTTCTTAGCCCAATCTCCTTAATCTATCCATAGGATCTTTGCTATCCCCATTTATGTCCCCACGAGTGGGAACATTGATGTGCTGATGATGATGATGACATATACTTTCCGTAGGAAAATCGAAAATGTTTTGTCACCCTACACATGTAATTTGTAATCAGAAATCAAAAACTTACCTACTAATGAACTCAACTCTACAGCAAATCACAAGAATTTGATCAAAATAATTTGTAGTTAGCATAAATAGGACTTCAATCCGGTAGAATATCGCCATATTGTTTATTGGAAGCATCACAAGTGTTCTCATGCATAAATGCAAGTTACTGCCAATTACTACCATTTCAAACAATTTTATTAATGAAGTTATCCGTATAAATAAAACTAAACATTATTTGATTGCATTGATATCAATATATTAACTGCATACAAACATTAATGCTAATTTAACTCTCAAACTGTACAATCTTGTTCTTTTATATGGTTATTGGGATAATGTGAAAACTACCATTTGATTATTTTTATTAACACTGACAATTGCAAGAGAGGGACGGATTCAATTTTCGTCGTTGTCCTGGTCGGAGTATTTTTCCCTCTTATTAAGGTAGAAACAAAAGACTTTATCTATTTAGAGTATTTTTTTCATTCTCATGTTGTTTCGTAAGCATTCCAGACAGTATTTAAGTTCCTTGGCGTGGATATTGAAAATTTGCTCCTAGGAACGTAGCCTTAGAAAATGGACATGACATGGGTTTTTTGGCGGGATTTCATCGAGTGTGGTTGCGTCTTATTTTAATTATTCTTAAATTCGTTCATAGTGGATATTGTGAAATAAAATTGGTGTGATTTTGTGTTACAACTGTCTGCGTAACTGAAGAATTAATAGAATCGTCAAAATATATGCTATTCCGGTCAAGTGGACGTGAGAATTTTATTGTAGTATTGACTACCTCACAGAAGCTTATCGAAAAAGCCAGCTCGATACATTTCGTGCCAAACACTTGAAGAAACATTAGAATGTGACACTGTAACCTTGAAAATCAGGGGTTAAAGAAAACCACTTTTCAGATTATGTTTTTACGTTTTAATCGATCAACTTTAGTTAAAATAAAAATATAACTTTGGTTAACTTAAATCCAACTATTTTAACATCAAATTTTTAAAACATAATATAACAACTTAAATCAAAATGTATTTTCAAAACGAATTAGGTTACTAAATTTATTCTCCCCTTACAGGTACAAATAGAAGAAGAGAGGGTTCGTGACGATTTCTGGTCTGGGTTTGAGTGATGTGTGTATAAACTTAAGTAGTCCAATCATGGGTAAATGTTAACAAGGCTGGGCTTAAATTTATTTATACATAAGTTAAGTTAGCTACGTTGGAATCCATATATAGTTCACAATTTCGGCGGTCTCCAGAGATTCACAATGAAATAATAGGTAATTAACGTCCTGAGGGAACACTCGCTACTGAATCTGTCCGGGACACGATTCTCGCTCGAAAGGGTTATTTGTCATCCAAAATATAAATAAGTTTCGGTGACTCAAAAAAAAATAAACAAATAAATAATGGGAAGGTACGATCCTGAGAGAGCACTTGCCACTAGATCCGTCCGGGACTCGATGCTCGCTCGAAAAAGTTGATTCTCACCCAAAATAAAAAACTCCGTTTTAGGAGTTAAGAGATAAACTGGAGGCGTGCAGGGAACTCGGGAAACAATTCACACGGGCCCGTATTATATCTAAATATCAGGATAAATCACTTATTTAAATATGAAAGTAATATCGTCCGTTCGCCAAAAAGGTACGAGTAAGTGGGTAGTTACATCGACAAATTTGATGAGAACTAAGAAAGGTTCTATCTTTAAATAGGAAATTTACAAAGTAAGAGAATTTCGTTGATCTCGCGTTGATCGATTAAAAACGTAAAATGTTATTAGTAAAAATTAATGCCAACTCGCGGTTCGCCGCTCGTGCGCCGCTGCTCCGTCCGTCAAATATTGTTTTTATATTTTCCCCTTTTGGGTAGGCAAAGGCAACAAAGACCATACGGCCTTGTTGATAATATTTTTTTTTTGGTCTTTTGGTCATAATTTAACTTTATAGTAAAGGTAAAATTTTAAGGGTTACAGCATCCCCTTTCCCTGTAAATAATTCATGCTAGGAATTCTTCGGATGCCCTCATCCGTCCTTCTGCCACCGTCATGACAGTTTAGATAAAAGAATCAAAATCCTACAAAAAAGACTATGAAATAAACTTATAATTGTTCCCCCTAGAAAAATCTAGAAGACTTACCAATTCTGTTTAAAACAGTTTATAAATGTGCAAATAAAGCACCACAACTAAATATGTAGTAAAACTATCAACTGGAAATAAACAGTTTGAATGGACTTAACCCCTTATTGCATGAATTATAAAACGGATGAAATAAAACAAAAATTTTAGCGATTGTATCTTTTATTAGTCTTAATTAAGAAATTAATAATAATAATAAAAATTTTTTTTTACTTATTTTGGAATTTAGCCCACAAAGCCATATAAGGATTCGTATGCAGGCTAGTGAAATAATAGATATCCATATGTGGCTTCGTATGCATTAGGAACATTATAGAAACTTATATCTTATGAAAATATTTAAGGTAAAATTTTAAGGGTTACAACACACCGACATTCTAATGTAAAAAGAAAAAGAAAAACAGAATAATTTAAGACTAGGCTGTATGGGCATTGTTCTCCTTGCCTTCCCTGAAAAGGGAGAACTTAACCAAAACAAAAATGGACATGATAGCGGTGGGTCG